CACCTACCCATTTATCAAGTAGGTTTTTCCTCTTTATAGACACTTTGGGCTTTGGTGGTTGAGACTAGAAGGATTAAGGCAGAATATAGAGGATAATTTATTGCTATGAAAATTTTCCAACTCTGCTCAACTTGGGTTCAGATTAATAACTAACTCATGAGACACAAAGACTTCATTTAACTCCGAATTTACTTTGTTTTTAGAAAGGATCAAAAAGTAACAGCATAGTATGTAAAGTAACAGTATAGTAGAGGTCTCCCAACTCCTAGGCACAGCTTCTAATGTCCAAATCCCACACACTTGGGAAGTGTATGGTCATAATGACAGATGAAGCTGAGTAGACACAGAATCTCTTCGCTCAAGGAAGCCATATGTCTCAGTCTGTTTTTTGCTGCTGTTATACCACAAACTGGGTAATTTAAAAAGAATTTTATTTGGCTTATGGTTCTGGAGACCAGGAAGTCCAAGACTGAGGGGCCATATCTGGTGAAGACCTTCTTGCTGCATTGTAACAGCAGAAAGCATCATATGGTGAGAAGAGTGACAGCACTCAAGACAGAGGAAAAGGGGGGCAGACTCTCACAATCACAAACCTATTCCTGAAATAATGTTGTTAATTATAGGTGCATGCCACCACACCCTGCTAATTTTTCTGTATTTTTAGTAGAGACAGGGTTTCACCATGCTGGCCAGGCTGGTCTCGAACTCCTGACCTCGAATTCCTGATCCACTTGCCTAAGCCTCCCAAAGTGCTGGGATTACAGATGTGAGCCACCATGCCCAGTCATAATCACCTCTTAACACTATCACAATGACAACTGAATATCAACATTAGTTTTAGAGGGGACACTCAAACCATAGCACCATCCGTTCTGGCATACCTTCACCTTTCATACCTAGCTAGCTGTGCAGCTGCATCTCATCAATACTTTTACTCACTACTTGATAAACAATGTTAACAGTAAGGTACAGGTGCTAGGTTTCACAGACAGTAGAATTTGCATTTATTTTAGATCTGGCACAGGGAAACTTTTTTCTGATGAAAAATATATTTTTATTTATAATACTTTAACATGTAGGGAATTGCATAAGATGATTTTTTGTTTTTATTTTTCTTTAATTTTACTTTAAGCTCTGGGATACATGCGCAGAACGTGCAGGTTTGTTACATAGGTACATATGTGCCATGGTGATTTGCTGCACCTATCAAATGTCATCTAGGTTTTAAATCCCACATGCATTAGGTATTTGTCCTAATGCTGTCCACACTGTCTTCCACAATAGTTGAAATAATTTACACTCCCACCAACAGTGTAAAAGCGTTCCTGTTTCTCCACATCCTTACTGGTATCTATTGTTTCCTGACTTTTTTTTTAGATTTTTTAAATTATACTTTAAGTTCTGGGATACACGTGCAGAACATGCAGGTTTGTTACATAGGTACACATGTGCCATGGTGGTTTGCTGCACCCATCAACCCATCATATACATTAGGTATTTCTCCTAATGTTATCCCTCACCTAGCCGCTCCCACCCACAACAGGCCCCAGTGTGTGATGTTCCCCTCCCTGTGTCCATGTGTTCTCATTGTTCAGCTCCCACTTATGAGAACATGTAGTGTTTGGTTTTCTGTTCTTGTGATAGTTTGCTGAGAATGATGGTTTCTAGCTTCATCGATATCCCTGCAAAGGACATGAACTCATCCTTTTTTGTGGCTGCATACTATTCCATGGTGTATATGTGCCACATTTTCTTTATCCAGTCCATCAACAGACATTTGGGTTGGTTCCAAGTCTTTGCTACTGCGAAGAGTGCTGCAGTAAACATACGTGTGCATGTGTCTTTATAGTAGAATGATTTATAATCCTTTGGGTATATACACAGTAATGGGATTGCTGGGTCAAATGGTATTTCTAGTTCTAGATCCTTGAGGAATTGCCACATTGTCTTCCACAATGGTTGAACTAATTTACACTCCCACCCACACGGTAAAAGCGTTCCTATTTCTCCACATCCTCTCCAGCATCTGTTGTTTCCTGACTTTTTAATGATCGCCATTCTAACTGGCATAAGATGGTAGCTCATAGTGGTTTTGATTTGCATTTCTCTAATGGCCAGTGATGATGAGCTTTTATTCATATGTTTGTTGGCTGCATAAATGACTTCTTTTGAGAAGTGTCTGTTCATATCTTTTGCCCACTTTTTGATGGGGTTGTTTTTTCTTGTAAATTTGTTTAAGTTCCTTGTAGATTCTGGATATTAGCCCTTTGTCAGATGGATAGATTGCAAAAATTTTCTCCCATTCTGTAGGTTGTCATGGGGAAACTTTTAACAGTTCCTTGAGTTGTGTTGTAAGTAGCATAAGACGAAGGGCCAAATCCTCAGGCATCCTGAGGCAAAAACAGATTTTAACCCTTTCTTTCAGCCTGCAAAGCCAACGATAAAAATGAACTACAAAAATGAATAAGTTCATTTAATTTACAAGGAGCATTTTAATTTTTCAAAAGACAGGTGGCACCTTTTTTAAAAATGGGGAAAGGGGAATTTCAATTCCTGAAATTTCATTTTCTTTTCTGTAAAAACAAGTAAGTATTTCTCTCTAACTCAAAACACTGTTTCATTTTACCTAGTGTTCTATCCAGTGAACTCACAGAAATGTAATAATTTGAATAATGTTTGGGGGATCTAACTGATCCGGAAAACCTATCAAAAATCAGATACATACGTTCATTGATAACTCATTTCTGCTATTTCGTTGATACTATACAAAGGAAGATATTGCCCATGATAAGGATTATTTTATTTCCATATGCATGTAATGTGGGTATGTGCAATGTACATTATGTTGTTTAATCTATAAAGTATGTAGTAGCTTTATTTTATATCCTCTTATCCCCCCAACCATCTGTTATAGTTATTTGGCCTGAAAAATAAATAATTAAAAATTTATGCACATATATAAATAAATAAATCTATAACCTAAATTTAAAAAAAATCATTGGGAAAACTTTATTATGCCCTTTAAAATCCTTAGTATTTTGACACATTTCATTGCTAAAATAAAACTTTTAATTTAAGCTAAGAAAACTAATTGGTATCACATACTAAAAGTTCTTGTAAGTTGCTGAAAGTGTTAGTTCTGGGAATAGCATTTTTACATTTTTCGTATTGATTTGCCTTTGAGACAAACTGCAACAAGAAAGCAGGTGATAAGCCTTTGTTAATGCCTCTGAGAGAAAATGCTGTAGCTACAGACTACTGTTGATAAACAGATTTTGAATTAATTAGTTCCACATAATTACATGAGCCATCAAGTCTCTGAAACCAAATGTACTTGGTCTTACATTGTTTTATATATAAAGAAGAAAAGGAAAAACTTTGTTTTAAAATTTACCTCTTCCAGGGTATAATTTTTTACAGGTTTAATTTTTTAAAGCAATGATTGAAATATTTAAATGGCATATGTTCAAGGCATATTAAATATTTATTCTTAGATTTACAAAATTAGATAAGAAGAGATTTGCTTTTTGTAAGCTGTTACCATTAGTGACAGAACTGGGACTCAGAGCATGCGACTATTCCTGCCTCATACTTCATAAAAGTCATATTTTGTTGCCAGAAGATGCCAAAGTGAACATCTTCAAAAAAATAGCCTGATGCTAAAAGGGCAGGCTTTCAATAAGATACTTTTAATAGTTTTGCCCACACTATTAAACTTTTAATAGTTTTGTTGCTGTTTACAACAGCAACAAAAAAAATTTTGAAGAAAAGCAGAGAAAAAAATTCTTAAAAAGAAATTGGGAAAAACTAGAAATATTTTTGCGAGACATAAAAGAAGCCTTAATAAATGGAGTGATATATAAATAAACATAAGAAGATACAATATTATAGAATTGTGAATTATTACCAAGTCAATATATATGTTTAATACAATTGAATCGAAAGTTCAATTAGTATTTTTGGAGTTTGGGACAATTTTTAAAGAAATTATCTAGGGAAAAAACATGAGGATAAGAAAAGTATTCAAAAGAAAATTTATGTAAAACAACTTGCTGTATTAGAAACTGACATATTGTAAAGCTATTATAATTTGCAAAAAGTGATACTAATGTAAGAACAGGCAGAAAGATCAATGAAACAGAATAGATGGCCCAAAGACCAGCGTAAATTAAAATTTACCCTAAGGATATAATTCAAGTTTTGTACCCAGAAATATTCATCTTAATATTGTCTTATAATAAAAATGTTAAGAAACCCCTAAAAGAGTTAACCAAGGTGAGTGGTTAAACAATGATGACACATGTAGGGGATAGAATATTATACAACCATTTAAAAGCACAGTTTGGAAAAATAATTGCATGGAAATATGTTTTCGAAAAAATATTAAGTGAAAAACACATGAGTCAAAGCTATGCATATACTTATATATTTTATATTGTGTATCTTTATATTTTTATTTTTAAAAGATTGAAAGGAAGTACAAAGTATGAAAATTAGTTATCAGTGCATAACGAAACTATGCATTACTTTTTACAGTTTTTACATTTGTTTTTATTTTCTAATTTTTCTATAATTGTTAGCTTCTGAGAGACTTTGTCTACCCATACCTCAATAAATAAAAAAGATATATTAAGAAAAATTTTCAAGCTGGTTTATTTTATTTTTGTAGTTAATTTATGGGTTATCTAACTTTGTTGATACTGACTTCAGCAACTTAAAATGCAGTCAGGTTTCTCTGTTGCCTCAAATTCCAAAATATCAAGTGTCATTTTTCCTTTGGGTACTGCATAAGCCACCAAACAAGCCAACAAGAGCATATAAATAAGTTATATGTGAAGGTAAGGCAAGAATAACTTGCTCTTCCAGGTCTGACTGTTGTACAATTATATTATGCTTAGCGTTATACTTCCCAATGGAAGAAAGCCTACTTTCTTATACCAGGAGAATAGTTATCAGTAGAACAAGGCCTATTTCTAATATATCTTTTTATTATTTTACAGGTATTTGGTTACAATTAACAGAGATCCCCAACTCAAATTTACTTCAACAATGGGAAAATTGATTATCCTACATAAGATGTCTGGAGCTTGGGTGAGCTCCAAGAGGTATAATCAACGGTTATGCCAAAATGGGCCCAAGTCCTTTCCACCTCTCCATTCAGCCATCGTTCATGTGTTGGCTTTATTCCCAGGCTGATTCCCTTCATGGGAACAAAAATGCTACAGTGGTTTTTGTCATAAAAATGCCAAGAGAAAACGAACCATCTCTTCCTGTGTCTCTTTCTTAGAAGCAAGGAAATCTTTCACAGAAACCCTCATCAGACTACTCCTCAAACCTTGGCCAGAGCTGAGACATGTGGCCCTTCTTAAACCAACTGCAGGCAAGGGGGAGGAGATTAACATAATTGTCATAGACAAATCAGGCTTGGGGTCAGCTTCCCCTGAAACACTTGGAGGATGGATATATGCATACAATCTGGTTCTGCTGTGAAAAGGATTGGCAGACTGGGGTGAGGTGGGGCAGTGCATATGGCATGCATGTTGGGTGAGCAATCCTTTCTGTTCCAGTTCTCCATGTTGTTAATGATATGGAAAGAGAAAAGATTCTTTTTTAAGTAGTAACACACTGTGATAGATGCTAATGATATCAGAGTGGACAGAACTAAATCTCTCTCCTCCAGGAGCTGACAGTTTTAAGAGAGAAGATACACAAGTAAACAGGCAACTACAACATAAAATGTTACATCCTGGTGCCAGGGAAGTTCCTTGAATGGGGCACTTAATTGGCCTTGATTCCCAAAGGAGGCAACATACAACTGGGGCCCAGAAAGATGAGGAGTCAGTAATTGACAGGATAGCATATCTGGAGAACCAGCAAGCTTTCAGGTTGGAGGTGAAAACAGGATAGAGATCATATAGGGCCCTGAAGGCCATGCCAAGGAGCTTATATTATCCTGAAGGCAATGGGACTCCAATAAAGGTTTATAAACAAGGAAGTAACATAATCTGATTTCCTTTTCAGAGCATTTATTCTATCTTCAGAATGGAGAATGGATTGGAGGGGGTCAAGCCTAGATTTAGAGAGAAGACAGATATTTTCACAGTAACCCAGGCTAGAAATACACAAATTAGAAGATGATTCAAAGTTCATGACTTAGGCAACTAAATGGATACTGGTACTATACACAAAGTTTAGTTTGGGACATTGTGAGTTTGAATTGCTTAAGGGACACCTAAGTGGAAATATGCAGTAAATAGAACACTTTGATTAGGCTTCTTATGACTATAAACATTATTAAATTGCTACCTAAATATTCTCCAGAAAATCTCAGCAAATAATATTAGTCATTGCCAAATTATCCAAGCAGTTTTTCTTTCTAGCTCTGACATGATTTGAGTGATATGATGAGGAAAATCATAGCAAATGTTTTACATGCTGACAAGTTAAACTAATAGATATTTTTAGATGTTGTGTAAGAAAAGAGCTCTGGGCTAAAAATGATGCTGACATTTAAAGGCTCTCCATAAACTTCAGAAATGTGTAGCCTTAGACACGAAGCCTAGTAGTTTAGAAGTGATGCTTAGCATCTAACCCATGCTTTCTCAACTTTGCTTTCTGTCGTGAATTGCCATTTATTATGACCATTTTCAATATCTTTAAATAGGCTTCAAGAACATGGTTTTTAATGGTTGAATTATTTTCTATCATATTGTATAATGGAAATGGTATTTTACCGAGCAAACTTACTTTCTGTGACAATTCAGGCAATTTCTAATTTTTTATAATATAAATAAATGCTGATTGAACATCACTAAACATAAATACTATACAAACATGTTTTAGTATTTTCATTTTTCCCAATCAGCTTTGTTAAACTTTGGGATTGACTAAGAGGTTCTTTCTCTTATTCTGAAACTGCAGCCATCTCAGAGGAAGCCTTGGATTTGGTACTAGAGAACCAGGTTCTAGTCTTAGTTTTTTGTTTTTGTTTTTTTTAAACAAACTCACAGTATTGATTATGGCCTATTTAACTTCCCTGGCCCTTCGTTTTCTCTGTCCAAATAACAAGGTTTTACTAAATAGATCTCTATAGTCCCATTTACTAAGTAGAACAGCAACAACAAACATTTTGCAAACAGTCTAATGATCTCAGTAAATAAGGTTGTAAAATCTGATCTAAGAATATGTCATGGTGGTCTTTTCAAAGCTTTCTTTTTTGACAAGCTAGCATCCTTCCCATGCATGCAGATAGATTCTGAGGCTTAGACAGGGTGGACCCTGGAGGTAGTGGGGTGGTGAGCTACCTAGGTGATCAGGTATAAATAGACCCCTAATTCTCTACCCCCACCTCATTTATTCCACCATTATAGCTTTATTGCTTACAGCTTGATTTGCTAATAATTCTAGGAGATAAATCATAATCTCAGCCTTCAAGAGGTTAGTCCTCTAGTTGGAGTAGGAATCCCGGGTCCACATACACTACTCTGGATATAAAAAGGTAAGAACCCCTTGGAAATGGTCACAAGACAAGGTCTGCCAAGATGCAAGAAAATTAGATGGTAAAAAAGTCACTTGACTTCATTTATTCCCTTTCTTTCACCATCACTTATGGGCAATCAAAAGTGAGTTTTAGCCATTTTTCTTCTTGCCAGATATTTAAAACCTTTCATTAATCCCCCATTTAAATCATAAGAGGCAATACATCTGCTGAGCAAAATATCTCAGCTATGTTTGATTGACAAATTTTGTATAAGACATCTTTTTCATCTGGAAAAAGAAAAGCAAAGTATTAGTAACACACACAAATGATTAAGTGAAGTCCCAAATTATCTTACAGATAATAGGGTACCATAGGTATCTCTGATTCCTAAGGACCTTTGCTTTGCCCACTATTTACTTATTATAAGCCAGCAGATTTGCAATTACCAAGGATCTTGTGACTCCCATGACAGAACACAGCACTGCAACAAGGATTTGAGGTGAAGGGCAGGCAAGCACCATCATGCTGAGGCCAGCCAGGGTAGGTCCCACAGGAAACTGACCCTGGGATATTACTACATCTCAAATGTATACTATTCAACTCTTAAACCTTGAAAGGTTGTTGAAATATTTGAAATATTAGTGCAAGGTTAAAACCAAGTATTTTTACTTTCTCAGAGAAGGTGAATTGCAACATATTTACCCAAACAGACTCAATTTAGGTCACAGGCAGTGGTTCGCAGCCTTGGCTGTCCATTAGAATCACCTGGAGAGCTTTTAAAACTCCCAAAGCCTACGCAGCATTCCTAACCAATTAAATCAGTATTTCTAAGAGTAGGAACCAGGCATCAGTATTTTTTAAGGCTCCGCAGGAGATTCCAATATATAGCCAAGGCTGAGATTCACTGATAAAAGATTTAACTCAGGTAATAAACCTTTGGGCTTATTGTGCTTATTTGACCAACACTGGGGCTTATTGTGTTTACCTGACCAACACAGAGCCAGAACTTATAGAAACCACTGACGAAATGACTTCCCCCAGAGACACCTAACTCTTTTGGCTCTCACCTTCTTCCTAGGCTATCAGGCATGGTGTTTGTCATATCCCAACCTGAATCTGCAACTCCCTGCTTGAGAGTCCTGAGGCTATCCCAAGGGTTCTGACGTACCTCATAACATCTCTTGTTTTTTCTCAGCCTACTGTCAAACCACTTAACTCAGAATTCCCAGAGGCCCCAAAACTCTCACTTCCCTCTGAAACACTAATGTCAGCTAAGGTTGATGCATGTACATTGATGTGAATCTTCTGAGTACTTTTGGTTTTACAAAGCCTTTAGGAATGTCTAGGGCCTGACAGCATCAAGGCATGGCTATGGGGTCAGGGGAATGAGGAAGAATCTCTAGAACCCCCTCAATTTTCAGCTCCTCTCCTTCCCCTATTCTCTAATATGTATAATTAACATTTTCTGTTTTATATATCTTATATAAGGTGCCACAAAAACAGTTTCAAAGTGCTAAAATGATTTCCTGGACAAAAAGGCAAGCACCCACTCTATCCTCCCCACTTAGTCACCTACACCTTTCTCCTTGGGTGTAGATAGGTGTCACAATTGAAAAATAGCAGATTTGAATTGTCCTGTTAGGAGTTTTTTCGTGACCAATTTATAAACATTCAGTATGATTTCAGCACAACTGGCCTCTCAAATTCAAAGCCAGAATTTTTTAAATGTTGCAGGTTGTTTTTTAAGTTAGAATGACTACAGCTACACCTACATATTTAGGAAGTAGATAAATGTTATTTGTGTGCTGCAATTGTGATGAGCATATTGAATACAATGATTGTCAAGCAAAATTTCCATGTGCAATTTCAGACAACAGACTCCAAAATGTGACCATATATAATCACCCCTTTTCTACTGCATTATGACAAAACAAGTAGTTGAAAATCATGTTTTATTGCTGTCTATCTCAGACAATAGGAATCTTAGTAAAAAATCTATTTCGTTTAAAGAACAACTTCAGTTTTCTCAGAGTCACTGAACCCAGATTGGTCATTTAAACTCAGCAGCTTTCTATTTCTGTCTGGTCTCTCATTTTCTAGCTGTGTTTACAGGCTAGAATTGGGTAGCTGCCATTGGGTCTTCCCACTTCATCCCTTAGTTCTGTATACTGTATGTATCCTGAATCATCTAGCAATATAAGGCCACATTGGTCCAGTTCCTGACAACTTACCTATTATGCCTGTGTGCTGAATTTTATTATCTTAGGGAATCCATGAGCTTCCATGATTATGACTTGATAAAATTACAGCTCAGTTCAGATCTCAACACCATGGAAAGAGGTTTGCAGGGTTTGTTTACAAGTGAGGATGCCATATGCTCCTCTAAGAAAAAAATATGCTAATTACCAAAGAAGAAATGAGGTAAGAACACATGCAATTGCTGCAGACCTACTAAGTAAACAAGCAAGATACTTTCTGTGCAATGGGAATAAATGTGGTGAATCCATCCCCTGGTGTTTTTATGTTCAGCTGACTCTACACAGAAAAGACTGAAGAGCAAGAAAAGGCATTTTCTCATAGTTATGCATTATATGTGTAGATTGACATATTTCATATTTGAGGTTCAAACTGGCCCAAAGTCTTATGGGGGTCCTTATTTATATATAAGGTTATAAAGCAAGATATTAAGTATTTAAAGCTGTACACAATAACAACCTGAACTCAGTAATTACAACTACCAAAGTAAAGTAGGTTTTCCTTC